ATATATATATATATATATATAGTCATGGGACGTGGAGTATAGTGTGGGAGTGGAGACAAGGGAATTGTAATAGATACGTATGATATTGGGGGGAAGTGGGGCAGCGGATTGGAGAGGGGGCTTGTCACTTCGAGGGGTAAAAAGAAGTGTAACTATTGCACTGTGTTGTACAGCTGAAACTAATTCTAAAAAATGTGTATTTCATAATGAAAAATAATTAAAAGAAAAAAAAAAGATTGTAAGTGTATCTCCTGTAGCCCCGAGAACAGCTCCAGCACCTGGATGTGAATGCAAAAAAACTACAGTTTCAAATGACAAAATGCTTGAAACCAAATCGGGTGTTTCCATATAGAAACAGCCAACTTTCGTCCAAGTACTGGTTTGGAATGGATCACATCAAATGATGAACAGGCCCTTTAGAAATCATTTTAAATGTTTAGAAAAGCAGCAATATCAACATACAAATATTTAAAAGAATCTATGCTTTTAACCCAATTAGCTCATTTGGGGACATTAATACATTTTCAGGGAAGTCTGCATCATGTATGAATGTGTGTAAGGAGAGAGCAGGGTTCAGGAAGGATGGATGGGAACTGCTACACACCCGTGCAGACTGAAAGAACTCTTTGCCATAGTAACAAGAACAGTGGTGCTCCCATGAGTCTCTCATAGACCCTGAGTCCGTGCTCACAGGAGAAGTGGCGATGGAGCAATCATCTTTAGCATCGTCATATTTACATCAATAATTATTAATACCTATTTTATTTTCAGACCTCATGCACAAAGTTAATGAGAGGAGAGAATATAAAAAGGGACATAAAAGGTACCGATGGACAGGGGTGTTAAAGAGATGACTACCAACAAGGGCAAATATTCCAGGAAAAACTGAAGGGCCTGCAGTGGGGATGTCCTGGACTAAGGAGGGACGCGATGGAGGCCGCTGGCCGCTGGCCACTGTGATGGCCCTGTCTCCTGTCCTGTGAGATGGCCAGGTGGCCTGGGAGCTGCCTTACAGTCCCACACAGGCAGTGCTTCTCTAGAGAAGGCGGGGAACCCCCCTCCTGGCTGGGGTGGGTGCTGGTCCACACAGATGCACAGTCCCCACGTTCATCTCATTCATCTCCATCTGATTATCACGTTGCAAACTGGACCAGTGCCAGATGGCAACTTCTGTTACAAAATCACTCTTGTATCCAATTGCCTCATGGAGACGGGCACGGGAGCCTGCTGGGTGGTTCCACCTTCCTCTGTACATGAAACAGGACAAAGCCCTTGCCTTCTGTGGTCCAGGCAGCATCTCTGCGCTCCAGCAGGGGCTCTTAGAGCGAAACAGCACGGTGGTGGCTGCCGCCCGGGTGAATAAAATCGAGGTCGCAGGGCCCACACATGCTAACCCACCTGTTACAGAAAAGGAACAGCTGTCTCTTCTCCGAGCCAGTGCCCGCTAAGCCCAAGAAGCCACTTCCAAAGTCCTTGAAGTTGTAAGTGAAGGGACGAGGCTGGGTGTGGATGAATCGTTGCCTCCCTCACAGCAAAGCCAGCTGAAACCCTGGAGGAAAAGCAGAGCCCTCGCCCGCCCAGTTCCAGCCATGAGGCGCCCCGCTCTGAGGCACTGTCCTAAGAAAGACACTGCATTGCTGTTGACACAGGAGGAACATATGCTCGTGCGTTGCTCACTGCACAGAAAATTCTCGAATGCCCTACTCAGAGTGCACTAGCATCTTCCAGCCCACGGGACAGGAGGAAAGAACACGCACTCTGTCCTTCCAGAGCCACGTGGGCAGGACCCTCCCTTGTCCTTGCATCCCACTGGCCAGAACTTTGGGCACACCTGGTTCCAGGGGAGCGGCAAAGGCGTTCCATCCAGAAACATTATTCAGCCATCTACACACGCCCTGGTTTCAGTGCCAGTGGCACACTCAGCAGCTGCAGCATCAAGAGCGGAAGAAGAAAGGAGCAGGTTCAGGTCACCAGTGACAAAGATGCCTTGAGCAGTGAAGACACGGGGCAGATGGTCCACGAGGCTGAGGAGTACAACGATGAAGATGACGAACAGAGACACAAAGTGTCTTCCAAGGACTCCACAGCCTTCTGCCTGCAACGTGAAGGTCACTGCAGAAGTGAGAAAGTTCATGGCAAGGTCCCCAACCTTGTTCATGACAGCCCGAGTAGGCTGAGCAAGCCTGTGTTCAGAAGGAGTCTGAGAACCAGCAGAGAAGGGGAGACGCTGCAGCAGCGAGTGGAGGGCAGCCAGGAGTGCTGGGGGGCTCCCCGGGGCAGGGGGCTCCTGCACCTGGACCCAGCATTACAGAGGGCGACCAGCTCACCAGGCCGCAAGGACCAGCATCCCGCACTCAGCCCAAGCGTAAGTGGCTGCCCTTAAAAAGCCATAATCGAGCTGCCAACTAAACGGAACACTGGGAGGTCTGGGCATGGCGGTAGGTGGGCTGGAGAAGAATTGCGCTTCACCAGCTCCATAAACACGTGGAGATGGGGCTCAGGTTCGGAGGGGGAAAAGGTCTGTCAAAAATTGACACCGCATATAAATAAATGAATAAATAATAGGTCATTGCCATAAAGGATGCCAGCCAGCCCAGGAAAAGCACATGTTCAGAGAATGTTTTCATGCCGTGAAAATGCACAATATGTTTCCAGGTTTTATTTTAAAAATTCCCAAAGAGCATGGACAATATAATCCTGGCTGTAGAGAAACATGCACATTCACACCTCCACAGAAGGACCCGGGACAAAGATGGGAAAAGTTAACAGTGGTCATCTTTTGGATGCTGAAATGTTATTCTTCATATTTGTATGTGATGTCCAAACTTGCTGGCTCAACCGTACATCAATTCCTAAGCAAGAGAAACAACCCTGCACAGGCAGGCACGCTGTCCCTTGAGCCTTCCGTATTTCACGCCACGTGCAAGCCAGGAGCTGTTCTCGTTAAAAAAGAAAAAGAGCTTCACCCCTCGCCTCTGTCCTCCCTGAGCAACGACATCTAAGCTGAATCTCAAAAACCGGAAACTGATGGCTTCTCGCTCACCAACAAAGTCACGGGGAAAAAGTAAGGCTGTCCCTACCGTAGTCCCAAAGGTATTCTTCAGCCATTCACAGTATCCAGAGCCTTTGGTCCTCCATCCGTCAGCCCTGATGCTCTCCAGGCCCCTCTGGCTGGCCGAAGGCACATGGCACATAGTGGTCAAAGAGTCTGGTGGGGCGAGGGGCTGCTTGGAGGGTGCAGGATGGCCGAAGGAGGCGGGACCCACAGCGCTGAGACGGCCTGGGTGCTGGAAAGGCGCCTTCTGTCCTGGGGCTCAGGGCGGGTGACTGCTGGCGGGTTTCCCCCCACCGTGCAGGGAGCCAGCAGGTGAACTTGCAATATTACGTCCAGTTCAAATCCTGAAGATGTCTTGGAGGCCAAATGAAGGAATATGAACGTCATCTTTTGTGCAAAACCTGGCGTTTTTCAGTACAGGTGTGGTGTGATAAACAGAGCACAGGGAACGTGGAATCAGCCGTAACAGGCCAGAGGTGGGGCGTCACACCATCAGGAAGAGAGAAGGCCGACGTCCGTGGTGAATGACTAGGAAATCACCACCCGACGCCTGATTTTTGCTCTGGACAACGTGTCAGCACGCTGTCCTCTGTTCACCCAGGGCACGCTTACCTGAGCCATGGCATAGGGTTGGTGACAAAGCCAACACAATGTGTGTTTTGAACAAAATGGGAAAACATATTTACAATAAAATATGGCTTTCACCATCCTGTTACTATTCCCTTTGCTGTTCCAACGCTGGACAATTAGTTTCATTTTCTTCCCAGAGGTGTCAGACCTTCCCCTTTGCTGGCCAGCCCCTGCTCAGACTTCCGCGCTGAGCAGCGCAGCTGACAGGGATGGCTGTGGGACACAGGCTCTGTGTTCACGGAGAGGGCAGGCGGGGGTCACGTCTGCTCTGAGGGACGCATTACAACCCAGAGCGGACACACTTCAGCCACAGGCGCTCAGCTCCCACAAAGGGTCAGGAAGGCCATTCTTCTACCACTAAGTGATGGTGATAAGCCCATGGCTGGATCCAGAAAGCTAAAGAGGAAACATCAAATTCATGTGGCATTTTAAGGGCCTTCAGAGGGAACTGGCTTACGTGCCGGGTTCCATCCGTCCAGGGTGCGTATTTAGGAAATTTGAAATGCTTGTTAGCTCCCTGACACTCTGCCTGCAATCACAACTCTTGAAATCGCTGTGCTCTGCCCTGTACACATGCAGAAGAGGATCTCTTTATAAAGGAAATGCACGTGGGTTTGCAGTGGGGCCAGCAGCCTCCGCGCCCCTGGTCTGTTCTGTCAGTGCCTGAACCAGCCCCCTGCCTCCGCGCCGTCACGACGACAGCTCACCTGCAGCAGGAGCATGCGTCCAACACACCAGGCCCAGCCTCGACGTGAAGACGGGCCATGGCTCAACGGCACCTCACCCTCTGTGCAAACACTGTGACATCTGCCTACCTGGCAACTGGGTTTCCCTCTTCAGAGCAGCCCAGGAGGACCCCTGACTTAACTGCAGAGCCTGAGCCCTGGGGGTTTGGGCACCGTCCACTTGGAGGAGAACTCAAGGACAACGGAAGGGAAAGGTGGGGACAGAGAGGTGACCCCCTCTTTACATAGTGGCCCTTGGAGAGTCCCTGACTGAGGGTTATGGAGTCTGGGGAGAAATAACCAACCCCTCAGCCCCGCCCCACACAGAGGTTAGAAGCTGTGTTTGTTGTTTGGGTTCATTCACTGCACTGGAGCTTCTTAAGGCAAAGGTGCTGAACTCGCCAGGTATCAATCGTATGCTGAGACCAGGGGTTGGCAAACTTTTGAGACGGAAGAGCCGCCAGGGCTCAGCAAACTGGCTCGCGAGCCACATGCGGCTCTTTGGGTACGTACATGTGGATCGGAAGTAAAATTGAAAATGAAAATAAAACTATCATTGTTTCATTTATAATATTACTTTAAATTTTCCTTATTTGTAAAAATATATTTATGGCTCTCGAATAATTTTTAAATTGTTGTGAGTGTCTTGGGCCTGGGATCACCCGGTGGACGTGAGGGCAGAAATATCACTCAGGAAATGGGGAATGAACAAGGGCCTGCCCGGTGGGCGCTCAGGGCCCACTTTCTCCCCAAGGCAGCCCTAAACCCTGGCAGCCAGGCTCACACACCCTGAAGAATCCGACCAGCCCAGGGAAGACCTCACACCTCTGCTGGTGGGGGTCCCCTCCAAACTGGTCATCAAGACCACCCCACAGTGAAGACCACCCAGGAGCACATAGCTCCCAGTCATCACGTTAGTGCTACACCCTGAAACACGGGGTCATCTGACATTTGGGAAATATTATAATATGAAAGACAGTCCAAAATACTGCAAACTTTGTTTTGCAAACACTGAAAACACCCCCTAAGATTTTATTAACAGTATCAGACAAAACAAAAAGATAATGTATCCATGGAAGGGATAAAGAAATTTTAAAAAAAGAATATATAGAGAATGAAAATTTTGGAGAGCAAAAGTATTTTGAGAACAGAAAAAAATAGCTCTTGGAAATTGATACTATGGAGGCAGAAATGTTTTAAATTCAACAAAAGGGTTGGGAGAGGGTGGAGAAAACCTCGCAGCAGGGTGGCTGCTGTTCTCCTGTTTCCATGGTGACCAGCCACCTTCCCAGCTGCCTATTTCAACATGACCACCGTCTAAATGCTCCGCCTGGGGGCTGACAAGTTACTGTCCAGGGATCCGGAGTCTTCAGCCAGCACAAGCACCAAGCGTGAGGCCACCTGAGGACCAGGCTCAACGACAGGTGAAGTGTGAAAACCAGGTCCAAATCCAGGGTTCTCGGGGTGAGGAGATGGAGCAGGGGCACCAGGGACCAGCCGCAAAGCGTCTCCAGGGCGTCAGAGGTGAGGTGGCATCCTGAGGGCCAGCGGGGTCCTGCCTCCAGCCCCTAGATGAGAGTGGGGCAGCGCGGCGGGCAGCTGACAGGTAGCTCTGCTGTCTCTTTGTCCACCTGGTTGGATCCATTTCATTTTGGTACTAAGGTTTAACCATCAAAGGGCCACCTGATTTCAGCACTTTCATCCCAATATCATAGGACATTTTTGAAATAAATATTCCCCTAAAGCACAAGATCTTAAATATATTGATTAACCAGCATGTCTCCATTCTAACTTGATCGCAATCACGGTTTACTTTCTGGGACCCTTCACCTGGGGACACAGTTTCCCTTTTCACGGACATCTGATCAAAAACATACATTTACAGTTTCTCCTCAGTGCCTGGGACTTTGATTGGCCGTGCCAAAAATAAAGTGGCCAGTTATCATCTTCACATTTGGGATGTATTTCCTCTTACATCCATTTGTGATAATTAACATTTTCATTTAACAAGAATCTGTCATTAATAAATATCATAGTCCTTTCATAACTATTTTTCCAATTAAAAACCATTTTTAATTTGTCAAGTCTGTAAAGAATTACAATAATTTCCACATTAAGTAAAAGCTATTAGCAATTTTCCTAATTGCAGAAATAATGACAGTAACAATTCAAAGCTAAAAAATTGGCATTGCTTTATAAGCGGTGCTTAACTTTCACTTATTTGATGACATTTTCTTAATAGTCTCTCATTTTAGATGGTGCAAGACATTGACATCAAAAACGAGTACTGCTAGCAGCTGAACTTTGAAAATTCCTCTCTGGCTCTCTGCCTGTCTGTGACACGTGGGCGTGAACAGGGGCCACCTGCATCCCTTCCGATTCCAGGGGTCAACGTGTCTCTTACTACCCCCTCTCCAAGCCTTTCTAAGTCTTCCCCGTTTTCTCAGGGCTGAGGCACAGAATCCCTGACCGTGAAAGGCAGTTTCCGTGGGGTGAGGACTGCCTGGGAGAAAAGGCAGACAGTGGGCCCCCACCCCGAGCGCCCCACACTAGCCCCGGCCCAGGGCTGCCAGACCCAGCAAACAAGGCACAGGAGCCCGACAAAGGACGTGCTCATGCTAAAAATGTCTCACTGCTTATCTGAAATTCAGATTTAACTAGGTGCCTGCATTTTATCCAGACCAAGACTTTTGCCATTATAAACAAGGCTGGACCATCTGCAGCAGCCGTGAGAAAATAACAGCCCCAGACCTCCACCCGGGCCATAAACAGCTAGAAAGCCAGGCAGATGGTGGAAACAAGCATATCTGACGTTGGACAAGCACAGGAGTGTGTTTCCTGAGAGGGGAGACGGAGCTGGGGAGAGGGGGCCTGCCAGGGCCCGGGCAGGCTCAGGCACGCACGAGCGGCGGCCCTGAGTGCGGGCCGGGCTGTCCAGTTGTGTGCAGGCTGACGTGCGGACCCTGACTGGATGTACAGGCCTTGACTCCGGAGCCTGCTGCGCAGGCGCCGGCTCCGGTTACATGAGCCCTTTATGACAGCATGCGCTCTCCTCCCCCAAAACCTCTATATAATGGTTGCTATTGCTGATTAAAGACGCTGGTTCCTCCTCCTGTCGGCTCTGCGTGCTTTCTTTACCCTGGGCATCTCACCACCGAAAGCTCTGCAGCCCCCCAGCGATGACCGGGCCCCACAGCCCAGCAGCCGGACAGGGGTGGAGGGGGCAGAGGGAGCCCAAACCGGGAGGCTGGCACTGGGCGGGACTGGGAGGCTGGCACTGGGCTGGACCGGGAGGCTGGCACTGGGCTGGGCGGAGAGCCCCGGGTGTCCACACCAAGGGGCCCAGAGGGCTTGGCCGAGTACCCATCTGCGTGCACATTGTGGGGGGGAGGCGTTGTCCCTGAGGCCAGGGCGAGGTGGCGACCAGGAAGCTGCTTCTGTCTCCAGATCACATGGGTCCAGAAGAGGAGCCCCACTAGTGGGAGGGGACACTTAGTGGAAAACCACAGGTATCATTCAGGACACCCAGGGGCCCGAGCGGCCCTCTCACCCTGACTTCCGGTGGATGCATTATCAGGAGGAGGCCCTGAGGGCCCAGCTCACTGCCTGACACGGTAGGAGTTTCCTAAGTATTGGGGGGAGGGAGAGAGGGAGGAACGACAGGACAGGAGGAGGAGATTTGTGCATGACCCTGACAATCACAGCTCGGACTCCTGACGTAAGGAGGACGTGGGTGGGGAGGGGGTGGGGTACCGAGGAGCAGGACAGGACACCTGCCCCTTCCCAGGAAAGAGCTGAGTTGGAGGAGGACATTGCAAATGCCCCAGGCCCCACGGTGACAGCATGGTGCTCCTACCTGCTGGACCCCCGGAGTCAATGCTGTTTGACCACAGGCTTCGGGTGGTGGGAGGAAAAGGGGACAGAATCTAGATTCCAGCCATGCCCGTGAGCAGACCCTGAGCACCTGCTACGTGCCAGGTACTCGTCTAAGTACTTGGGATCCGTGAGGCTACAACAAAACAAACAGAAACCAGAAAGCAGACAAGCTCCCTCCTATGGCACAGTTTACAACTGGGGGTACACCTAGCGTGTTCTCATCTAAAACACGGGAATGAGAGGGGTTTTCACGGGTCATGGTAGACACTGGGCTTGAATGTCTCCCCAGACGCCAATCTCATCAGAAGCCGGACTGTGTCATCCTGCCACAAACAGCCGTGAGCCCTACGATGTGCCTGGTGCCAGGCTGGGAGAGCCGGCCGCTCTGGGCAGGTCCTGGCTCTGCTGTTATTCTTGCAGGCACCCCCTCACTGCGTATAACCTGCTCGAAGCCGTCACCTGCGCCAGACACCGTTTTCATTTCATCTTAGCAATGATCTACGTTCCGTGTAACAGCAGCCCTGTGAGGAAGGAGGCATGCTCATGTCCGTCTCACAGGTGGACACGGGCAGGAAGGCTGAATCACTGGCCCAGCGCACACAGCTAACGGGGGGGAGCTGAGATCGGAGCCCCGGCAGGCCGACGCCAGCCCCCAGCTCACTCCGCTGCACTGTTTCCTCACTGAAGCCCCAAAGTTAGTGCCAATGCTTAGCGCACACCCTGAACACAACCGGTGCTTACGGGTGAGACTACACAAGTGGTGCTCGCAGGTAAGCAGTCAAACCACAGCGATTGAAGCAAAAAGCAAGACCGTGGAGCCAGTTGTACATTCTGTGTGTATTTCTCCAAGAGAAGCCCAGCGCCTTGTGCCCACCGACGTCCCGCCCGCCCGGCTCAGCGCTCAGCCCCACCCTGCCGTCCCCGCACCTGGCGGGAGCGCACCTCCCAGGTGTGTGGATGTGGAGAGTGAAGCAGAGCTGCCGCCAGCACATCGCGCTGTGAGTCCTGGGAGCTGCCAGACTGCTCCTCCCCACACTCGCTAGTACGGAAACCCTGTGAGGAAATGCAGTTCCGTGAAAAGTAACAGGGATGAAGACGAAACTGCTGGATGGTTCAGATGGGCAGGCGTTACCAGACTGTGTTACACGAAGCGTGTTCGTAAACGCTGATGCCACCCGCATTCACAAGTTCACTGCCATTTCTGTTAGAAGTGTAAGTAAGGCCCTCAGTGCCTAAGAGGATGAGAATTGTGTAAAGGAAAAAAATCACATTTTCCTCTCACAATTGTGCCTTTTATGTCTAAAGGCAAGAGGGAACCCCATTCAGAAATATACAAATATAAAACTACATACACACACGTTACACCTACACGAGCAAACTATAGAATAGAGCTGTCAGGGTAGAATGTTTCCACTTCTTTAGAATCTCACTAATTTACAATTATGCTCTAAGACTAGAAGGCACTAACGTAGATTCACATTTTTTATTTCCACAAATAAATATGGAGGGGCGTTTGAGAGATGGGCAGGAACCAGCAAGGCCTGCGTGCCGTGCTGACGGTGGGCACCTCGTCTTCCAGCCGCAGCCCACACCAGACTCACTTGTTTTTCACACCCTCACAGACAGGAAATTAAAGCATAAAAGTTTGTAAGCCGATTTCTCAAACCGGTGTTTAAATGCTTGAATGCTAACAAGCGGCTCATTTCACAGGCAGTTTTTTCCACCTTTCCAATAACAGGAATGACGGGGTCAGGGGACAATTCCCAGGGTTACCCCCGTCGACCCCATCACACCTTATAGAAAGCTCTGCCTTCGCCTGCAGCTGCGACCTGCTGAGCCTGCCTGAAGGCGCCTGGCTCTGACAAGAGGGGAGCAGAGATGTAAACAAAATCAACTCAGAAGCCGCCCGTGGCCCAATTACCTCCAGGAGCCCAGGGGCCACGTACCTGCCGGAAAGGCAGAGAGCTGCACTTCACGCCGCACACCTGTGTACATGACTCACTCTGGGTCCCGGCTTCCCTTTCCCAGGAGTAGTCGATGGAGTAATCAGTGATTGTTCGACACGCCCCGGCATGGGGATGGCTGTGTCTTTTTCACGTGTCTTTACGACTGAGAGCACACATACCTGGTCTTGATGGAGGTCAGGCCCTCATTAATTCACTTGACCAGGCTGAAAAGCTGTCTAAGAAAGGGTGGAGAAAAAAAACAAAACAAAAAAACACACATTTTTCTCTGGTTCACAAATAAGGACTTACCAATATACTATAATATATATACATATACAGAAAAATCAGACCAAAGGAAAACGTGATTCGATACGTAACCATACAGGCCCCACCACAATCCCAATATAATTGGTAGAAAGTAAGTTAAAATGCTTTTTTGATTAAGTTTTCCTTTCAGCTGCGATTTAGAAATGCTAATAAAATCAGGCACTAACATCCACTGTCCCGATGAGTCTTTAAGCTCAGAACAGACTTCATGTCCTGAAAGTAAATTATGACACTGAGTTTCACAGTGCTGTGTAAAGTGATGGGTTCTCTACAAAGACCCCAAAGAAATAAGTATTCCCCGCCTTCTGGCCAAGGTCACCCTATCGATGGAGCAGGAAAGCACATTCGAAAAGGTAAAGCATGTTTTAAAATTAAAATGACACAGATGCATCTTTACGCTTCTAAGAAACGCCTTCGGCAGATGGAACACCCACCGAAAGAGTTAAAAAAAAAAATACAGCTCATGTTGGAGAGAAAAAGGAACAGTATTTAGAAAGCCCAGCATACCATCCTGGCTGTGATCCTGCCTCAAAGGAAACGGACAAAGGGAGGCGAGGAGAAGGAGCCACGCTTTCTTTAAGGATTACAGATCACTGCTTGACCGGTCCTCAGTTCCCAGCGTTCTTCACACTGGAGTGACAGCGGGGTGGAAGGTCACGCGGTCTGCCATGCAGGTCAGGACCCTTCGAAGCATTAGCCCCATCTGTAAATAGCCACGGTATTGAGTGAGAAGAATGGGAATGCGTTTCTATTTTGGAAAATGTAATTGGGCCGATTTACTCTGAGGGGAGGGGCAGGTCACTCACGCGGAGGAGCGGGGTCACCGCACACTGAGCCGACATTCCTCCTGCAGGGTCTTGGGGTCCCACACTCCCAGGGCTCTGGAATGGGCACACGAAAGCATCATTCCGGGTGCTGCTTTGTCACGGCAGGCGTGCTTGAAGCAGGAGTCTTGCTAAGACTTGCCTTCTGCTTTAAGATTTAGGTTTCCACATTAAGTAGCAAGTCTCTGGTGGGAGAGAACGTTGGCTCTCCGTGTTCCCCACCCCCACCCCCATCAGTCCTTACCGACGCCACCTGGCACCTCATGCCTGGGCTTGAGTGTGATGAGGTGGGAACTTGTCCACAGCTGTCCCTCTGCTAAGGGCATGATGCCCAGACAAAACGATGTGAAAAGTCACCACAGCCACGACGTCACATGTCACATGTCACATGACACAGGCCAGCTCCCTGTCCTCAGGCCATTTTGAACAACCTCGCATGACCACAGATCTGACCCCTGACTACATGTGAGCAGTTTGGACTCAAAGAGACCCACGTGTCTTACTGCCACGAGCTTCTCAGAGTTTAACTACGATTTCACTTCTGCCAACATCCCTCAGCACCCCATGTACACAGGGAACATTGCAAAGGCCGGCAAATAGCACCAAGAAAAGTCTGTTCTCCTCGCCCGTACAGGGTTGGCTCTTTCCTAGGCCGTTCCTAAGTCCTCCGGCCACAGCCCTGCTGCAACACAGGTTTTGAGATCCCGGAATATCCAAATCCCAATTAAAAGACTGGGTAAACCTCAGAAACGTTGATACACAGAACAAGCTCACCTGACAGGCTAAGCCCTGTCCATCCCCCCATCTGGTCACAACTCTTTCTGCTGGTGTTCACTTCCTTTCACCTTGAATTACAGGGCGAAATGTTTACAGTTGATCCAGGAACCTCTTATTTTTACCTTGAAATGCCTGAAGCCTCTGTAATGCACATGAGCAGGAAGGCTGACGTGGGGTCTCGTGACGCCAGGAGGACTCAGAGAGCAGACAGCCTGCGAAGCCGTGGGGCGGGCAGACAGTTGGGGAGGGTCTCCCCGTGTCCCCACTCCAGCCCCCCCCCACACACCCCCATGCCTTCGGCAACACTCCCAGAGACCAGACTCAGTCCCGGGACTGATAACAAACGCTCAGCATCACCCCTCCTGGGGAATGTTAAGGTTTATAGGTTATAAGGTTTACAGACGGCAACACTGATTAAACTCTATCCGCCCGGCCTGACTGTCCCGGGTGCCAGCTCTTGCCTCTGACTCTCGCCTTACCCCCTCGGTCCCTGCCCCCTCCAGCCTGGGGACCCCGCACCTCCCCGGCTTCCCGGCTAACTTCCACGCTCTTCCCAGTCTGTTCTTGATGCCTAGACCCACTCCCCCCTGTTCACCCACCTGCATGTCCACGTGGGTCCACGTGGAGATACTGACCGCCACACGCCGTCCCCCCCCACTGGGACTCCCACCGTGATGCGAGCGGCTCCCGTCCACGTGTGTGTCCACGGGCACCTGCCTGTTCTTCGTGTTTTCCTACCTCTTCATACTGAGAAAATCAGACCCTCCAAACCTGGCCCGGGGGCTGCGCCCTCCCACGGCCCTGGCTCCCGGCCCTCCTGCCCCCCTGCTCGCCCATCCAGCCCCCAGGCCCCGCAGGACGCGCTGTCCCCACCTTCCCTGGCTGTTACCGACCTGCAAACGCGCGTCCAGCACAGCGCTAACGCTGGGGAAAGGGCGAGAAAAGGAGCCGGCGCTGCTTCCAGGTGACTTAAAACGCGGAACTTTCTAACGCTCAGACCCCACAGGTCTCCTGCCATTCCCGACACTCGTCACAAACCGTTTGAGGGACCACGAGTGCAGACAGAGCTCCGATGCCCACGGGTACAAAAGCATTCCCCTCCCGTCTCTGAGTCCACACTCCTCCCTGGCTGACGTGTCTTATTCTCCCTCCTCTTCCTCTGCCATGAAACCTGCTTTTCTCCCAGGCTGCAAACCTCTCCTCACTTTCCCGGGTCATCACACCCAAGCTAACTTCATGTGCCCCCACGTACAGCCCAGGCCGGCTCAGCCAGCCCCACAGCACCCCACTTCAGAGACCTCCGCCCTGGACCACTGGCCACCCACCGCTCACCCAGCCAGGGCTCCGCGATGCCCGCCTTCCGAAGACACGAACAGCTTCTCTAGGAGTGTGCTACACGGGGGCGCACAGTTACGTTTTGATACAGCCAAGGTGCCAACAGTCCCCACTCGGTGTGGGTGCTGCCCAGACCTCGTCGGACATCTCTCTCCATTTCCTGAGGCACGAGGACATTCTATGATAGAAACTGCTCTGTACTTGTAAACAATGTGAGGTTACCCAGGTTTTCATTGACTAGTTGACTTCATTTTTCAGTTATGTTTTTCATTGAAAAGCCTGTATTTATAAAAATTGTGTGTAATTGAGAGGTGATGCAGACAATTAAGGGAAAAGCACATTGAGTCAAGTGGAAACTCCAATCCACGCTCCTTTCAAGCCCATAAGAAGTGTGCCGTATGCAGGGAGGGGAGTGCCGTTCACAGCCCGAGGCAGCCCAAACACGCCCTGGGGAAAGTGCTTCGGACACCACGAGGGACAAAAATAACACAGAACCATGACGGTCAGAGGACGGGGGTTGGGAAGCAGAGGACAGAGAGGGAGAGGAGGTGGGGGGTGCTAATGGAGAGGGGGACGCTGACGGACATGAGATGCCAGGCGCCCTGCTGGGAGCTGGAGTGTTAGGTTCCTCCATCTAGAACACCTTGGGGGGTAAGTATGATTTCTGGCTTTTCAGATGAAGCCATGACGCCACCAAGGCTCAGGAGAAAAAAGGTTAATCTGCCCAAAAGGACACCGTCAGCAGGTAACCAAGAGCCTGTTCCACCCACTACACATCCCATAGGGGCCGTGAAGGAATGTTACCAAGAAGACCGCCTGGAAACAGCGAGTTTCACGTCTCACC